TCTTTTAACAACTTTTTATCTACCAGCACAAATTCAGATGTCTCCCTTGTTTTCACCAAAGAAGCCTTGAAAATGACTGATACGATTGGAATTCTATTCCAAATAACCATTGATCCTACAGTATCATCAACTCCATTCGCCTCCATCCAGGAGGTGAGCTATTATAAGGAAGAAGAGGAAATTCTCTTCACCATGAACACCGTCTTTCGCATTGGTGAAGTGCGAAAAATTGACAATAATCATGCACTTTATCAGGTCGATCTTAAACTTACGTCAGATGATGACCCACAACTTCGTGAATTAACTGACTTTATACGAAAAGAGGTTAGCGGCACTGGATGGCGTCGAATGGGTAAATTGCTGCTCACAATACGTCAATTCGACAAGGACCAAGGACTATATATGGCACTACTAGAACAGGCATCGAATGATAGTGAGAGAGCAGATATCTATCACCAGCTCGGATGGTTGAAAGACAACCAAGGGCAATACGAAGAGGCAGTTGCATTTTACGAACAATTTCTGAAAATCGAGCGAAAAACTCTTCCGGAAGATGATCCTTCCTTGGTTCCTACGTACAATAATATTGCTCTAGTGTATAAAGACATAGGTGACAACCCGAAAGCACTTGAATTTTACGAAAAATCACTTAAAATAAGAGAAAAAGCTCTGTCTCTGAATCATCCCGATTTAGCTACTTCCTACAGCAAGGATGTGGGTGTGGGAACCTATTTTTGGAACTCAAAGAGAATCTCATCTAGTCCTTTTTATACTGTTTTGCACATTCTGCTAATACTTAGAAAACTTCAATGACTACCTATAGCTTGTCTTCTCATGGCTGTTAGTTGATGGACGCAACGGAGTTGTGTGAAACATTTATCAGTTAGAAAATAACAAAATCTTGCAGAAAACCTATTGGGAGTCTTCATGGTTCGCACGAGCTATCATTTATTTAGAGAATCGGGATCGACATCTGAACCGTTTGTAGCTTTCTAAACTACTAACGACATACACACATATCATGCCTTCTTAAGAGCCTCCTCCCCTTAGAAAATCCAATTTTTAAAAGAAATATCGAAGTTGAGTTTTTATCATAGGAAGATGCAGCGAAGTTTCCTCTTGCAGAATATCTATCGATTTTTGGAAAATGATCACATTTTCAAAGACATCACATGAAACTTTGATTCTACCACCATATTTTCCGAGAAATTTCCGTGGTTTTTAAAGGTTTTCAGTTTTGGAACAACTGCGTTTTCACTTGCATTAGCATTGAGCAGAGCATTTTTACATTACCCAGCAAGTCCGATGGCGTTAGCTACCTTCACCTTTTACGTGCTTTAAAACAATCCACTGGAATGAATTAGTATTATACAATTGTTATATGATTTTCTTTGGATTTGAATAAAAGAATCCATTTCTAAATTAGTTTATCGTTTTTCTCAGAAGACACTTTCCAATCAGAAAAATTGGAACTCCTCCCTCCAGGCTCAGATTACAGTGCGGTGCATAATTATAAGACCACTTGTTTTCAAAGTGCACTAAATAAAATGAGCGATATTTTTAGTGATTTCACATAGATGATTCATAAGAATAGCGCTATAAAATTTTCAAGCGCGAGTCTTTTTATTTTCTTATATATCTAGAATTACCTCCATTTTGGTGGTGCATAAATATAAGACCACATAAAAAAAATTCAAAAAAACCAAAAGAAAAAAAAAGTCAATATTTTGTCTTGGCTCCATTTAGCTTAATAACTTCAAATATTCTTTCAGGCATCGATTCGACTAGAGCCCGGAGTTGTTCGATGCTGATTTCTTCCCAAGATTTCAGAATGGCAGTTTTTAACTGTTCTTTTGATCTAAATTGTTTACCACCCACATAGACCTTCCTTGCTAGTATTCCCCAAAGATTTTCAATTGGATTTAAATCAGGCGATAACGATGGCCAAGGTAAAACATTGATTTTTTGCGATTTAAACCAAGTGAGATTGACTTTTGCTCGATGAATTGGTGCATTATCCTGCTGAAAGATCCAATCAGACCCACCCATACAGCTACCGATATCAATGAGATGCTTTTTCAACACCTCTCGATATCCTTTTGCGTTCATTCGACCGTCCACAAAACATATTGAACTTTTACCACCCCAACCAAACGACGCCCAAATCATAACGCTACCACCACCTTGAGGACGAGTTGAAAAAATCTCTTCCTCTTTACGGAGATCATGCCAGTAGTAAGAAAAACCATCAGGACCATCCAAATTAAATTTTTTTTCATCAGACCAAACAACTTTGTGCCATTCATTGTTCCAGGTCATATGGTCTTTAGCCCAACTTAATCGTAAATCTTTATGAGCTGTTGTTAAAGCAGGAGAGTGTTTTTTTTTCATCTTTTTCAAGATGTTTGACCTTTTTATAACTCGATTGATTGTCCATCGTGACATTTTTAAGCATAAATCATTAACAATATTGGCACAAGATATTGTTTTGTTGCTGGCGGTTCTAATAATAAGACGTTTGGTGCGTTCATCGACCTTTTGTCTTCGACCAGTTCGTTTTCTCGTGCCATATTTAAGTGGATCTTTTAAAAAATTTGTTACCACTGTCTTCGATCGATTGATTTTCCTGGCAATTTCTCGATGGGATTTATTTTTCTTGTGTAATGCTAAAATCGACTTTCTTTCACTTTCTGTTAGTTGTATTTCTCTGGGCATGTTATAGCTTAAATCTCAGTGTTATCCTGTGTGTTAATTTTATTCAAAGTCACTGATGATTCACTTAGTATTAAGAACCAATCATGTGGTCTTATATTTATGCACCACCAAAATGGAGGTAATTCTAGATATATAAGAAAATAAAAAGACTCGCGCTTGAAAATTTTATAGCGCTATTCTTATGAATCATCTATGTGAAATCACTAAAAATATCGCTCATTTTATTTAGTGCACTTTGAAAACAAGTGGTCTTATAATTATGCACCGCACTGTATATCCCAATATTTTTATTTTTTGTTTTAAAGCTCTGAACGAGAATAAACTTTTGTCCGAACGAATTTTGTATAGTTGGTTCCTCGGCTGAGAAAAGTGGAATTTACTCTCGTTGGACCATCATCTTTTATGCTGATTTTTGGACCATGTCACCAAAAATGTTCATAAAAGATGGACGGAATTGAATTTCAAAATTCTGGTCTGACAAATGTTGCTCACGGACCTTAGCTTTAATTTAAAACCACACCGAGGTCTACAGCACGTGTCGCGAGAAGGTTATAGTCATTCCAAAAATGGGTCATAAATCAGCTGGAACTCCGGCCTAGTATGAGTTGTAGGGCTGAAATATTTACCAGGAGCGTATCTCATCAGGATAAATCATCCCTGAAAATTTCAGCTCAAATGTACTATTTCAAGTGGGAAATCGTTCCTGAGGGGGGACCTTTAACTCCGAACTGATAGTAGACACCATACCGAGGCATCCTTAAAAGTTACAAATAGTATCTATAGATAGCCCTTGGAAAGTTCAAGGTAGAATGTAAAGGTAGCAGTCTAGAATTGACACTGCGTATATGTATTAGCATTAAAAATAATGCTAAATTGATACTAACACCTAAGCATTAATTGATTCTAATGTCATTAATACCAGAGCATTAGTATTAACTATTAATGCTGATTCCAAAGCATTAGTATTAACAGTTAATGCTAATGCAAAAGTATTAGCATTATTTTTAAATTAATGCTAATACGACATCTCTAATTTCAACAAAATTTGATGAAAAAACAAAGATTTCTCTTTTTTTATAACAACAAACTTCGAATTCTAATATGTCCTTGAAAACGACAAAAACTAGATAATTATATGAAACTCTAACTAAAATCAAATTAAATTCTAGATGTTCGATAAAAAGTAATACAAACTAATGACTGTTGATTATTTCAATCTATTTTAGAATAGGGTTTCTTTCATGTATTAAAATAGTTTACAATAAATAGAAACTTTTCTATTTTATGAAGGAAGAAGATTTGAAGTTTTTAGATATAAGTTTTAATTTAGTTTGAAAACCTTTTTCTCTTTATCTTAATTCATCTGAAATGCTGAAGGAGATTCGGTAAAGATAAAAGTTA